CGTGCCACCTGAAGAAGCCTCCATCGAAGAAATAATTCTACTCAGTTTTGAGAAGGGAAACAGTAAAGCTGTTACTGAAGTTACTAACACTGATGTGACTGTTATGGACGATAGGACATTTCCTGATTAAGCAGATGAACCCCATATGAAGCAGAAGCCAACGAGATGGAGACCAGTATGGAAGAAGATACGTCCCGTAAAATTAAGAGACTTTGTTGAATTGTAATTTTGTGTTTGTAATTCTGTACATTTAATTAAGTTATTATTAATTGTTATTGGTTTAATGCAAGAGGCTATTGTTCGGGACGAACAATACTAAGGAGGGGCAGTGTTGCATCAGCGAGGTCACGTGACTAGTATCACGCCACGTCCTTCTCGAACCTTCATGAATTATCGGGAGACTACTAGATTGGGGGTAGTCTGGTATATATATATATATAAGACGGTCACAACGTGACGGAACAACAGGTAATGAGTAATTGAATGTATGCGGACAAAATATTGTTGGCCACGTGAGACGTGAATTATAGTGTTTGTTATAGAGCGACTGTTGAAATTAAGTGTATCGTAAAGTTGTATTCGGAAAGAATAAACCAGTTTTATTTAAGAAAGGACTTGTGTCACTAAAGTTTCGCCGGAACGAATTTACGGAAAATTAATTGGCGAACGGAGACGTAACATAGTATTTTGTTAATGCTATAGATCGAACATTTGTAATGGCGGTTTATTTCTTACCTTGGTCGCTTTTCTCAGAAGCTTTTAGCTGGAGTTGTTTGACTCGTCTTAGCATGTTTTCCCTCTTTAACTCCGACATTCGACACTCTAAGATAATGTGGTCTAGAATTAACCGAAGCTTCGCCACTGTAAGTAAATAACATAACGATGAGAAACTCGCATAACTTTCTAACCAATAGAGTTTGTAAATATTAAACACTTACTCCACTGATCTATTACTTTCGTCTGGTTCTTCAGGATGATGTCACGTTACTTTTCAAATTCTGAGTGATTCAATGCTACTAACCAGAAATGGATATTGTACTTAATATTTGCATTATCCAGTAAAGTATTGTTATTTAACCCTTCTTTTATCTATTGACACTAGGTATTGTTAGTGTCAAAAGAAAAGAAAAAAGACTTTATAATTAAATCAGGTTGCTCTCCATTTCGTGTCGCTATGGTCTACAATGTCAGTTTAGTGTTACATTGTTATACTGGTTTAGCTCTTTCATATAAATAAATTCAATGTTCGTTTGGCATCACTAACTTAAAATAAAAATAAAAAAAGATACCAAAGTTTACAAAATGCTTACAAAAAAGATATAATGAAAACTTGGAGAATCTTGTCGCATATTACAAAATGTTTAACACGTGAACTTAGCCTGTCTTTACAAATGGCATAATTACCTGTGGCGACATCTTATCTATAATAATCAGCTTCAACTGTTTTCGTGATAGAATGTCTGCATAGGTCTTTGGAACCTTTTTGAAGGTGTGCAAAACCTTTTTGTATAAGTGTTAGGACGAAATATTTTGTTGTTTTTTTACATTTTTGTATAGGTGTTAGGACTGTTACGACAGCGGAAGTCACGTGACGCTAGTAACACGTCATGATATTCTCGATGGTTCGTGAATGCTCGAGTGTTTACTAGATGTGCGGTATTCCTGTATATAAGACCGCCAAGAAGTGACGGCAACAAGGGGAAATGAATTGCAGACAGAGATAGAGACGGACAATTGAGTCAAGCGCGTGAATCGTTCGTTGTGAATTATAGCGTTTGTTTAATTTATAGCGTGACTGTGGAAATTAAGTGTATTGCAAAGTTGTATTGAGAAAGAATAAACTAGTTTTATTTCAAATTCGGTGACGAGGAACCCACTTTGAGACTAATAATGGCTGGAGTTTTGTCATCATCAAAACCTTGTCGAAAACGTTGTACATTTGCGGTTATGTTAAAGTTTTTCTTCATTACCCATTCAAGCTGTCTCCAGCCGTTATTAAACTAGTTTTATTTAAGAAAGGACCTGTATCGTTAAAGTTTCTTCGGAAATAATTTTTACGGAAAATTAACAAACGAACACAGAGGCGTAACAGGACGAAATGTTTTTGTTGTTTTTTACATTTTTGTATAGGTGTTATGGCAATTTTTTTTAAACTTCTTTTGTATAGAAACGTAATTATTTTAGACATTTCGTCTTAACACCTATACAAAAAAGTTTTGCACACCTTAAAAAGGATTTGTTATTTTTTAACATTTTTGTATAGGTGTTAAGGTAAAATTTTTAAAAACTTCTGTATAGAAACGTAGTTATTTTATCCACGGTAAAAACGTAACATACTACTGTTGTCTTTCTGGCAAATAAAGCCTTATTATTTCAGCCTTTTTCAGGTTTTAAACAAACTCTATCCCAGTTCTCTTCGTGTATATGTAGGTGTTTTAAACTCGATAATGTAAACAGATTATTATTTAAACTTGAACTTACCCCGAGATGATAGATCTTCGTCTTCGGCTAGATCAAAACTTGACATGGCATATTTTCTATTGAGGTCCTTGTGGCATGACTTGGTGGCCTCACTTTTAACCTGTCTTAGTCGCCCAATCGCTAAGCTGTCACTGTCGGATCGAGATCGCCTGAGCTGAAAGTTGACAGGTCTTTTAGAATTTCTTATATCTTTAACTTGTTTTGACGACCTATCTGCTGTTATATGACCGTCAGTCTCATAATTATTTTGTATATTAGTTTTAATGTTTTTTTTCTGCGTTTCATTTTCAACATCGTATGGACTTTTGTACACATCTCTGAACGTTATATGATAGTTTCTCAAAGTTCCTGGTTTACAACTGTCATATATAATTGTTACTACACTAGAGTTCATCTCTTTAACTAGTACTCGCTTACTCGTTTCATCACAGTTACTGATTGTTTTACCATCCGAGTTTGGTGTTCTGGCAGACAACTCAACGCCAGAGTCTCCGAGTGAGTCACAATGTGTGCCAAACCCTGGTGTATCACTTAACACTGAGTTAGGTCTACTTTCTCTAGATCTAGCCGTGAGATGTTGTGGTGACTCATTTCCTTTGTTTTTCGCTGTAACGTTACTCTTAGCCGTGAGATGTTGTGGTGACTCATTTCCTTTGTTTTTCGCTGTAACGTTACTCTTAGCCGTGAGATGTTGTGGTGACTCATTTCCTTTGTTTTTCGCTGTAACATTACTCTTAGCCGTGAGATGTTGTGGTGACTCATTTCCTTTGTTTTCGCTGTAACGTTACTCTTAGCCGTGAGATGTTGTGGTGACTCATTTCCTTTGTTTTTCGCTGTAACGTTACTCTTAGCCGTGAGATGTTGTGGTGACTCATTTCCTTTGTTTTTCGCTGTAACGTTACTCTTAG